TTGGGCTTTGGGCTTAAAAACAAAATCTGGCTTTAGCTTTAGCAGGCGGCGGGGTGTTTACCAGTCTTTGCTTTTTTCGTTTAAACTGTGTGTGTTCGTGGGAAACGGATCAGCCCCCACACCCAAGCGCCGCTTGGTGCATCCAGACACCGTAGGGTGCTCGTAACCGTTCCGCTGATCCCAGCGCCGGCAGCCGCCGCGCTGGCGCGCAGGGAGCGCGGCCGAAGCGCATGTTAAACCCCCGTGAGCGGGAAGCGGGTCAGCTCATCCTTCTAACGTGTCTCAAGCCCAAACCTCGGGGCTGGAGTCACTGCCACAGCAAGGGAGACTCGGATAGTTTCAAGCCTTCGATTTTCTCCTTCGGGTTTTCCCTGCCTCAAGAGAGATCTGGGGGCAGCAGGGAAAGAAGCACGGGGAAAGTGGGCGTGGGACCCGCGGGCGGGCCGGCAGGGCAGGGCTGTTCCTGCAAACACCTCTTCGGTGTCGCACGGTGTCTTTTCAGTGCCTGCCCTGAAATACCTGTCAAAGAATCGCGGCAAGAATTTCAGCTGAAAAGGTCATTATCCTCTTTTCTTTTTTCTTTTTTTTTTTCCTTGAGCTTTTGTGCCTCTAATCCTCCTACTCAGTAAGTAACGATTGTACCAAATCTATACAGACGATTTCACCATTTTTTCTTACTTCTAATAAGTTTCTCTGCTTCATGTTTCGCTAAAGGTTAGGCAGGCTCAATGCCGAAGATTCTGCGATGCTTAATCACATTTTCTAATTCAGTTACATAAAAATTAAGTGAATTAGATTAAAAATGACTGGAAATTTGTTTCTCGGATGACAGCTGTGACTGAAACCAGAGTTCCTGCAGTAGTCTAATTTCAGGAAATTTTCCCCTTGTTACTACATAACTAGAGGTCGAAGAAGCAGTTCTGCTCTGGAATGGCGATATGAGCATCAATAGCACCGTGCTCCCCTCACCCCTCAGAAATATCCCAGCTAGGGCGTATAGGCGTTGTGCTGTATGCACGACCTGGGAAAGTTCAATGGTCTTCACCCAAGTGCTCGAAAGAAGAGAGAGGAGGAGGAGGAGGAGGAGGAGGAGGAGAAGGAGGAG